CATTGGTTTGATCAAATTTAATAAATAATCAAGGGTAACTGTTACTCTAAGAATATGTCTACTGTGTAACATATTCATCCCAAATTGATGAATGCATGAGTTTCTTTGAGAGAAAAAAAAACAGTTAACTCAGACTACTCATGAAAATAAATATAACATGCATACACATCCCCCCCCCCCCCCCCCAGAAAACTAGCTTTTTTTTCTCTGCACAACATAATAAAACACTGTCTACCTTACCTGTTCATTTCAAATGATAGGTCTATTATATTATTCATGTGCAATTACAGTCTGCTTAAAAACACAATTGAAATGCAAATTACCATATCTTTTCCTTTTTTGTTCTGAAACTAATTTCTTGGAAATGATTTTTAAACATAACAGAATATCATTAGTAACAAAACAACAAACGATAAGAGTACCAGAAATGCAGAAATGCTATACTTTGCTTCAGAAAATTCAAAATTATTTGTACAAGGCTTAGAAATTTGATGCCTGTCTGTGATTTATATCCAAACTTTGAATTTTCGACATGTAGTCATATTTTTAGACATGATGTCATACATATGTTATTCCCTTTTAAATGGTCATAGATTGTCTTATTACAGGTATATCTATGGCCAATACAATTTTGACTGCACCAACAGTAAACTAAAAGTACAAAATAATTTGGAAGTAAAAAAGGAAAGGGATGAAGACCTACTGACATACATGGATGGATTAATTCCCTTCAATTGTTTTACGTAATCTTACAAACCACAACTGTGTCAACAAAAGGAAAACATTCTTAACAATTGACATGGTTTGACTAATTGTATTGTACTTATTTATCCCTATCTCTTTATTTCAAGTCTCTTTTCCATTCAATTGCTCTCATCACTGGCGTATTATGTACTTTCAAAAAGAGGAGGCCTCTACATAAATTAAGGGTAGGCCAGGCAATAAAAAAATGTACTAAAGAACTCAAAATTTTGGCCACAAAAAAAATATAAAGTAGGCAAGTAGGCAGGAATCTTTATTTGTTTGTTTGCTCAATATTTATACCTTGAGTATATAAGGATACCTGCAGCGTTTTCAGGATTCACTACCAAAAGTGCAAATAAAAACTTAAAGTACCTAGGAATTATGAGGCAAAGAACTATGCCAAACTCTAAACACAAATATTATTTTTGTCTGAGATATTTATACTTTTATTGTAAAGAGATAGTTTGAAGTCAGATGTGAAATCAACTTGCACGTTTTTTTCATTTTTCCTGTTTGCTTCTTTTTCAGCTTCTGGCATGTGTACTGATTGAAACAGAATCATTAAACTTTAGTCTGATCTTTCATATATTTAAATTGAAACTTTACATCTAAAATACAGCGACAATGGAAAAGCAAATAGTGTTAAGTTTAAAAATCTATGTACTTTGGCGAACATCAGTGGGTGGGGCTTAAAAATATAAAACAAAATGGTAATGATGTACCCTTATGATTTAAAAATTGAAACTTTCTCTGGGATACAGAGGATTAATTTCAAACTTTCAGACAAATGCACTGAATTGGGGTCAAAATTTCTTTAAAAAAAAAAAACATTGTAAAGATTAAGAATTCTTAATAATCATCACTGACACAAATAATGACTGCTTCCATCTTGGGAATAGATAGTTTAATTGAGTAATTTTGACAGTTTTGATTTCTTTTGACGCAAATCATTTATATGATAATATATTTATTTCATCTTCATCACTGAATATTTATCAATGTAATTCACTTCATTTCATCACAGCTAAATTTTGCAACATTTTTTTTCAAATAATTTACGGCCTTTTTGTGAAAACGAATAAGAAAGAAAATACATGTAAATCTTAAAAAACAAAGATCACCTTCAATAAAGACCATGAATATGATCTAAATTAATTTCAATGGTCATATAAAATTGTGAGGGAAGTGAAAATAACAAAATTTGCATGTAAATTATCAATTAAAAGATGTATGAAAGATCTCAAAAGCAATTTACAGTAAACCAATGAAAACTTAGTTACTGTACGCTCACAAAAAAAAAAATTTTTATTGAAAAAAGTCAATTAAATATCATCTGTAAGTCTGATGCTATATTCTACCCACCCTCAACATGTTGGATGAAAAATAAAAAAAATTGTGTCTTAAATATGAAACTGATGATATGAACTAAAGATAACATTACCAAACACATGCAAGTAAAAGAAGGAAAAATCACCCCAAAAATCATTATGCAGAAAAAATTTTCTTCAATTATCTATAAGTCTATGTTACATTCCAAAGCAATTTACAGAAAACCAAAAAACTTTTTTAATCATCTATGAGTCTAATGCTGTATTCCACCCATATTCCACCCACCCTAAACATGTCAGATGTAAAAATAAGAAATCTGCATCTTAAATATGAAACTGGTATTATGAACTAAAAATAAAAATAACAAACACAAGTAAGTATAAGAGGTTAAAAACCCCAAAGCACAACCTCTCCTACAATCTTGTATCACGACATTTACACAATATCATATTCATTTCATTCATGTCTGAAAATAAGGTGTAGTATGATTGCCAATGAGACAACTCACTACCAGAGTTCAAATGACAAAGATGTAAGATATTCATTTCATTCATGAAATTTACATTTACATAACTACTAGGAAATTTTTATATAACTATTCACGTAATAAAGTCAGTCTGTCATTGACGTCAGAATTTCTGGGTTTTTTATTTCTTGACGGGCTTAATATTTTCTCAATAGACACCTATATCGAAGATATTCATTTCAGTCATGAAATTTATATTTACATACCTACTAGTAAATTTTTATATAACTATTAACGTAAAAAAGTCAGGTCTTTCATTGATGTCAGAATTTTTTTTTTTTTCATTGTTTTCTAGGTAGTGTTAAAGAAGACACCTATATCGAATTGTGTGAATAACGTTTGTTTATATAATGATCCTGTATTGATATTTTGTTTTTATACTTACTGAAAGTAAAAATTATTAGAAGAAAAATTTTTGAAAATTGAAGATATTTTTTGTACTTATAAATGGCAGCTTGATTTGAATGCATGCCTGGAGTAAGAAGTTTCAGTTAGAGACCTGAATGAGGCCCATGCATGGGGGTTTCTAGGATAAAATGGGAAATCAAAAACTGTATTTGCTTTTCTGTTTAACTATGACTTTAATTAATCATGAATCAAAAATGCTCTAGGTAATCAAGTAATCATCAGAAGATAGTCAAGATCATCACATAATTGCAAAACCCGACTATGGCTTTTGAATCTACTACACATATTAAAGTTGTACAGAAGTTTGTATATGTTATTTCAAGGGAAATAACTCTTTTAAGATCACTGTTTGTGTTTGCTGTTTTCATATTTTTTTATAATGAATATTACAATTTCTAAGGATACTAAATATCCAAATTTATTTTAAGTTATATAAAATATTAAAACATCATTTTCATTGATTGTCGATTTAAAAGTTTGCAATATGAGAAATCAGATATCCCTCAAAACAAGGCTCAAGATTGTTTTTATAAACTTCATATTATTTATATTTTCATGGAAGGGAAGGATATCCTCCAGATTGGAAAATTTAACTCTGATATTTTCTGCTACAAAACCTACATACAATATGAAACTTATAAATCATTTCTATATAAGAGCACTTGTAGCTATATGACCAAAACCCTATACTGAAGTATGCAATATTGACTTCATATTTGTTTAAAAATATGCTCTCACTTTCTTTTTTATTTATTATCTGCTACTTCAAGTAGAAATAAACACAGGTGTTATAGATTTATTATGTTTGCATGTGATTGTGAAAAAACCCACCCCAGAAATTAAAAAAAAGAAAGTTTTTATGTCTATTAACACCTTCTTAATTACATGTACATGACTAGATGAACTGCCAGTACATGTTGGTGCAATCCAATGACAATTACATGTAGAGCAAAGGGACACAGCAACATTTTGCTACATAGGAACAGATAATGTGGAATTTCTCTTGGTAAAAAAATCTGACTTCTCAATATAATGTAAGGGTTTTTTAATCTTTATATCATAAATATATTGATAAATTGAATAATACGGTTTTTATTATTATAATTGGAGAGAAAAAAAAAATCTGTTAAAATTGATTTTGTGGACATAAGACAAATTATACATGCCTTAAATAAAACGCAACTGCCATCCTTACAGACTTCTAAGCTTTATGAGCTTTTGAATTCCATATTGTATACTTTTTCTAGACATTTGATTTCTTTTTCTGCCTTTTTTTTCTCTAAAAGAATAGTTGAAAATCTATTACTATTATAATTGTACTAAAATGACTTAAGATTTTAATTTAAGTCCATGAAACAAATGGACCAAAGTGGTGAACACAAGAAAATATCAGAAACATGTAATACATACAAGGGGCTTGTCACTTCAGGTAGGGGGCCTTGGTGGCAGAGTGGTCTAAGCAGTTCATCTACAGTAATTATTGGTCTGTTAACCCAGCTTGTGGCAAAATGAATTCCAATTCCATCTTAATTGACTAGGATTGCTACTTTTACTGCCAAAGGTCAGTGGTTCCTTCAGATATTCTCCACCAATAAAAACTAGCCAACACAATATAGTCAAAATTGATGAAGTACTGTTAAACACTAACAATAATTCAGGTATGAACCCCCCCCCCCCCAAAAAAAAAATAAATAAATAAAATAAAACAAGGTAATTTTGGTCTTACAGGTTCTGTTCAAATCATGGTATCAGTTTTATAGACAAGATGGTGAACTTTTAATTCATTTATAAATGTAGCATCAGGAAAAACAGAAACATGAAGTGCTTTTTCACACTGTCTTCAATAAGGTTTGTAATTCTGTTTGTATTTTAGTTACCAATTTGTAATTATTCTTTCCAGCTTTAATCAATTATGAAACCAAGTCTACATTTCTGTACATTAAAGTATATTTATAGCTCTGTATGGATAAAAAACAAGACATTTTAAGAATAGTATCTTTCTTTAAAGATTTATTAATAACACCTAATGTAAAAAAAAATTTTTTTCTACCAGTTAACAACATGCACATTGGTCTATTCTAATCTCATAACTGCAGTTCTGTAAATTTTCAACTAGTTGTTAAGCTTAATATTCTTTCTTGTAGTTTGTCCCAAAAATAGTGCAGTTTAGAAGTTAAAAGCGAAATAAACATGTGAAAATCAGTTTATATATTCTTACTGACAATTCATACTTATGAAACAGTAACACATTTACTGCATTTCTGGGTTAAAATTTGCAAATATCATGTCTATAAATAAATACCTTGTGTCTCAATAAATAGGGGAAAAATAATTAAATGTATTTAAATATATATCTTCCAGTTTGACTGAATCTAAGTAATAGTTAAATAACACCACTAAATGGCTAATAAAAAAAAGCAAGTTCGTATCTGAAAATAATACACATGTTGTAATTGTCTTGTGAAGTGTGTATTTTAAAAGTGCTTTGATACATGTATAGCATTTGGTTGCAAAGCACAGTTCATTCCTTATGAACCAATCTACATGTGCATTGGTTTTACAACAGAGTTATGATTGTGTAAACTTTAAGCTGACTTAAAGCCATGATCTGAACACATAGCAACACATGAGGTTCTTGGATACACATTGTTATTCTGAATCTGTAGAGTTGACATCTGACCTCCCAATGTTCAAAGGAACATAATCAGTCTGGTTCCCAGACAACAAAGAGGTACCAGATTTTCACTGTATAGAACATTCTTTCTTGTCTTGTTTTAACAGTTTCCCTTCACTTATCTTTCTATCAAGCTGTTCTTCTTCTTCAATTCTAAAAATAAAACAATATTTTGGTATAATTTGGTTGTTGTAAAAAAAAAAAGTTCATGAAATTTGAATTTAAATTTTTTTGGATTGCCATCTTGTGGATTCCAAATTGCAACCATCAATTAAAAATATGATTAAATAATGTAATTAAATCATTTGAAGAGGATTTTTTACAATAGGTTTTACAGAATAAGCAGTTAACTTGTCTTTCCAACAGAATACTATCCTCTGCATTAGCAGCCATCTTGAATTTTGGATCACTCAAAAGTTCTATGAAGGTTCATCTTTGTCCCGTTGTGAATAAAATAAGATTTTTTTTATGGAAGGAAAATGTCAATGAGACAAAACTCCCTCAACAAAATAGAAATATATATATATATATAACAAAAAAAAAATTTCCCTGGATATGAGTTCAATTTGTCAGAAAAAAACTAATACAGGTAAACATTAAAAAAAAAATATGATTAACAAAACAGAGTATTTTCCTTTTCATGAATGTAATTAACCTCAGTGACAATGAATATCATCATAATTCATTACCTGTGGTCACTTCAATAGAATTAATCAAATCAGAAAACATATAAAAACATCATTTGGTCACTTTGTGTAATGATGCTGAACACTATCAATTATAACACCTTTCTACTATTAATGTACAAATAACAATTGTTATTCATCAAATTATTGTAGATGGCTACAAGCTAAGGATTTGAAGAAAAAAACCTTCCGACATATTCAAGAAAAATTTAATATAACGTCAATTGTCAATGTAGCTGGAACAAAATAAGCTGAATGTATCTATGATGAGTGTATTTCTTTATTTGGACATGATTTAAGGCAGGATTTTCATAATTTGCGCAAAATCAAGCACTAGTGGTTGGTTTGTTGGCCTGTATAGTATCTTGATTCTTGTTTGTTATTCGGAGAAAACATTGTTGAAGTTAGATCTTTGATATTCTCTGTTAATATTTTTTACAATTTTTTTAGACTCTGGATTAAATGCTTGACTAGTGTAAAGACACATGTCCACTAGTTGTTGGTTGGTTGTCTTATGTTATATCTTAATTTTTGTTTGTTATTTTGATAAAATGTTGTTGAAGGCAGACCTCTAATAGTCTGTGTTAATATTTTTTACAATTTTTTTTTGGACTCTTAAATGCTTGACTAGTGTTCTGACACCTGTCTTTCATTGAAAACTGTATGTCATAAGGTTCCTGTTTCAATGACATATCACTACATCTCATCCTGTCATACATACTTATAATTTGGAAACAATAAAATGATATTTATTCATTATTACTTGATTACATCTTTTAAGTGGAATTTGATGATTTTACAATATTTGGGAGACTGAAGTCCTCCAGACGTTTAATAAGTTTCCTGCTTAAAGATACATATGTCCTGTTGTCTTACAGGTTTTAATAGGAATTAACTGTAAATTTAAAGGATTTAACAGATAAAGGAATTAAAACTTGTAATGTCATATTGTTGGTCATAGTATTTTCAGTTATTTATTATCTAAAAACAAATAAATAAAAATGTACAGCAATACAATGCAAAGATTGGAAACAAGTGACAAGTCAAAACTGTTTACTGGGTATATGACTTTGGTTTAATGTTGTTGGATTGTTATCTCATTTTTACTGAACATATCTTTCCATATAAGTATATAAGTATTTCCACAGTCATTTGTATATTGAAATTATTTCTATTTGATTTTCATGAAAATTTCACCATTAAAAAAACATGATAACAGTCATCAAAATTGCATGAACATTAAACATAATTGACTTCATTCTTTTTTTTTTTTATAAAAATTGGTCAGCATGTTACTCTGATCATATGCACTTTAAAACATTAACTGGTTCTTATAATAATATATTCTAATACATGTATGGCAGCAGTGCCAGATACATTAATAAAATAAGGTAAAATCAAACGAAAAATATTAATAACAGGGGACAAGCTACAAACCCAGATGTCACATCTCTAATAAACATCCACAGATGTAAAGATCTTAGGACCATGCAGAATAGAACTGCAATCACTGTAATCGGACCAAATGAGGCATTCACAAACATCAACCCAAGCAGTTAAATGTTAGAAATATTGAACTGAAAGGGAAATGAAGGAAGAATAGCCCTCCATTATCGTAGCGTCTGTGAAAGAAAACATTCATTTTACCTGTTATTTTAATGTATAGACGGCCCCCGTTACTTCCACTTTTGTGACCGTACAAGTCTTTCAATTCTGATGCAGTAGACAAGTTAATTGAAGAATAAAAAGATGCGCTGAAATTGTTTCAGTTCCCTGATAAAACATCGCACTAGTTGTTTTCAGTCAGTGATTTTCAATAGGCATCCTACGTGAAGAAGCGATTCTTTCATCTAAAAACCATTACCTATGATATTTAGGTTCATTCAGTTGTATTGACGTCGTAGAAAAACATGATTCCATTAAATCATTGAGATATGGAGACATCAGTCATCATAAACACCCTTAATTTTGTCTTTTCATCAAAATTCCATTAGCTCATTAATAGAAACTATCGGCAAATAGACAACGAACAAGTAAGTGTGAAACCAACTACATTCATTTTAACTGTAACGGGATTGAAATTCACAGCGGTTAATGCAGAAAGGAAGTTGAATAATAATTTTTCAGGTCGAGAAACAATAGTTAGTGTGATAGTTTACCAAAGTGACCTCTATAATTGTCAATTTTTAAAGGTTGATAGTCTGGGATCGATACATGAAGTTAAACAAAAAAGGATGCATCCAGTAGACAAAATCTATATTTAAACATTAATTAATTTCGATCTGTTACTAAAATAATTATAGATTTGAAATTGATTTTTTTAATTTGCCATAATGGTGGTCAATTGAAATTCCAATCAATATTTTTAGTCTCAATTATCCATTTTTTTCTAGGTGACTGAATTTTAAAAAAAAATATATGACGTAAGAATATAACTTAAAATTCAACCACTGGGAAAGGCAATATATACCATAGATGGAAGATACTTATATAGGGAACACATTCACAACTTGCAATTTTTTTTGAGAGAGAACAAATTTCTAAAAAATAAAATTCTTGAGTGGCAGACAGGTTTGTTGCAAACAAGCTCCACCTTACTGAAATTCTACCATGTAAATAGCTATAGCGAGATCTGAAGGATGAACAAAATATAAACCTCAAAAGTACTTTATGTATAAAAAATTCCTATTGTTTTTTAATTTGAATGTATTATTTTTGCTTTCTAAATAAAAGAACTATTGATAACATTTTCCTAACATATTTTTGTAAAAAAAAATCCCAGAACAGTACAGAAATAGATGACAAGATCGTCCTGGTCCCACTTATTTGGTTAAATAAACAACAATACATTGATACAGAAATGTAAAAAAAAATTTAAATCCTCTGCTACAAATAATTTGTTATGGAAAAGTGGAATACTTGTCAGTTTGGGGTTGGGTAGTTCTAGGAGTTAGAACCATCTTCACTTTCAAAAATTAGGTACAAATAGATAAAGATTAGACTGCGAGGACATATTTGCTACTATCTCACAATTCCATTCACCTTTAAAGTGGGGGTCAAAAATACATTAAATATTTAAGGCTAGTGTAGTAATACTACTAGACATTTTTTCACTTGCATTTTGTTATTAATCATAAATGAAAAAAAAATATCGATAGGAATCTATCATTTTAATCTGATTAGGCTTATAAAATATGTATTGTCAAAAGGGAGATTACAAAAATAATTCCACTCGATGAGATTTTTATTATTGACAAAATATAAAGACCAAGGTTTATACACACAATAGGCAATGATGATTCAGATTAATTTTCTTCATTGTTTTCTTACAAAATATTTATATTTGTCTTGACAGAATTCTTACTAATAAAACTGGTATGACAAAACAACGAAATTTTCTTGTTCCCAGTACTACTGATTTTTAACAATTATGATAAGCCCGTATGAAATGCTTTACTTTATTTTAGCATTTAATGGACAAAAATATAAAAACAAATATCCAATACATTTGTGAGACATAAAATGTCAAGGAAATTTACAGTAATAAAGATCTCATAAAATAACAAAACTTAATTAACAATTTAACATCACATAAGTTTTGAATAATTCTCAAAAGGTAAGGCAATAAAGAATAAAATTCCCATATATGTATTTAAGTTTATATGAAAATGGAGTGGGTCTTGAATTTTTTGCTTTTGAATTTTATTCTATTTCTAGAAATAACATATAATTTTCACAGTTAAAATAATCATTGAACCTTTTGCATGGCCAAAATTAAAATAAGCACTCCTGTTTTGATAAATACAAGACAACAAGGATCGGAACCTAAGAATTTATTTCACCTCTCCTTAATAACACATCTTAAATTTTCTACCAAACTAAACAATTTTCACAATACATATTGAATTAATAACATGCAGTCCAACCAACCTGGTGCAGCAAAATTTAATTTTCTTCTTTCAATCCTGGCTTTATGTATCGATAAATTTTCACGTCAAATTAAAAGATCAATCATAGAAAATATTGAAGATTTATCACCCGAGTCAACACCTGTACCTGACATTTCCCCCCTTTAAAAGCATGTTAGTCAAAGTTTAACTAGACAGGTCGTTTTCCGTTACACATTTCTATTAGCGTGGCATGCGTCCGTTTTCCTACCCTACAATTTTCCTCGTCATTACCTCTGATCTGGTTATAAATTTCTTTTTAGATTGATGGGTAGAACAGAATTTTATAAAAGATGAGCAAATTTGATGAGTTTGATATTTTAATGGGAAAAGTGCATACTTTTATTACCTGTTTTTTTGTTCAGGTAACCGAACACGTTTAATTATTCCATTACCGAACTTCTCTATCTTTATTACGATGTTAAGTGAATTCTTCCTGATGGCTAACTTGCATGCAATTCAAATAGACAATTCTTAAATAGGGGAGTTATTTATTGCTATAGCATTCTTTTGTTTCTTTCTAAATTAAAACAAAAGTCGTTCATATTTTTCAAGACTATACAGAAATGGGAAAATTTCACGAAAATCTTAATGACAGCATTTCTAAGCATGTGAATCTTATTTGGATTTGTTCTATTTTTTTACAAAATTATATTTTTACTTTATTTTGCCTATGACATTAGTCATTCAAACACATTAATTTTGGTATACAGAGGTGCAATTGTCCACTCAATACCTTCCCCTCTCCCCCCCGTTAAAAATATTAAGTCTATCAGAAATGATGTACATTTATTGTGTACTTAATGATACATTATTTCAGCAGATAAACTTCCAGTAATGACAAAGGTCAAGGGGTTAATAAATGTTTTTGACTCCAAAAAACTAATCTTATTCACTCCATATATTTTCAGCAATTTTGGTGAAACAGACGAGGTAAAAGTTTGAACAACGGAGATTATCATCTAGAGGACTATTTTGACCAATATGTATATTTTATTCTCAACTTAATGACACTTACGCTCTTTCTTGAGAGTCTAAATGCTGAACTAGTTCATCTCTCTTGTTTACGATGGCAACTAACTCTTCCAGTAATAACTTTTCTCTCCTCTTCTGCGCTTCAGTTTTCTGCCAGTCTGAAACAGAAATAGAATAAAGCATGATTTCCTTTCTTCTATAGCAAGTATAGCATAAAAGGGATAACTCATACATAAAAAGTATACAGCAATCGCTATAAAAAGTTATGACAGTTCAACAGACCACACATGACCTTTCAAGGAAAAATACACATACTTACTATTGAAAACAAAATATCTAAAAAGCATGGTAAAAAAAAAGAAATTAAAGAAATTTTTCGTATGGTGAATATTTCATACTGTAAGCTTGATGTATAATGCTTCATAACTATCACACACAGTCATTTTTTTATTAAATGAGTTTTTCCAGTCTAGAAGTAATTTTTTTTTAATATTTAAAAAGTTCTGCCTGATATCAAGGAAAATTGTCAAAGTTAACAAAATGTATAGCAGCAAAAATTTTGTGAAATATTTCCATAGGGAAGGTTTACCACTATAAAAATCTCAGGATATTCGTTAGTCCCATTCGTCACATCATTGAAACTCATAAAAAGACTAACTTCTCTTTTGATACAAGTAATAAGGGAATATCACTCATGTAATATTTTTATTAAAAATTACTATTATTGAAATACTTATCCTGTAATATGGAGATTAAAATTATATAAACCCCAGACTTCTATTATTATTTCAAGTGCACACAAAACTATTAAAATGTTATCCATCTTTTGTAAATATTATAAGAATAAACTTTTTGTGTTGGCTGCTTAACATTTATTTTATAAATTCAGTATGAAGGTAGCATGTCTATGATGCTGAGGTGACACTATGTGACCCCAAATTGGACATATAAATCAGTTTGTTTTTACTTGCACATTTTAATCTGTACAGCACCTTTTTTGTTTGTTTGTTAATTATTATAAAAATTCCTTGTAATTGAGCATATGCCCATACCTTGTTTGTTTAAAAGTTGCAGAATTATCAGAAATGATGGCTGCCACCTAACAGCAGAAGCTGAAGAAGCAGAGGACATTGAATCAACAATTATGTCAAAGTTGTTTGGTTAAAACTTTTGACAAATCTAGGTGAAAATGACCTTACTGGTAACTCAGAGGTTTCTAATACAAAAACATAATTGATTTTGTCAAAATATTTCATTTGCATTCAACATATATTGTCATATAATTAATTTCAAAAGGATATCAAGAAACATAGATTATCAATTATTCATAGAATGAAAATAATATATGTGATTTTTTTTCAATTTCTGATGTAAATTTGGATGTCAAAAAAATTGCCTTAGAAAACTTGACCAAATTTTCAAATTGCTGTTAATTAACATTGTACTTTTAAGTTTTTATTTATCAAGAAAAAAGCCAATTGTGATGGCACTTGGCAAGAATGTGAAATATTCCTCTGGATTATTAGGGAATGTTGTTTTTTTCTTCAATAATACTAATTGGACACTAATTAAACAATCATGACTATCCTTTGCAAATTTAATAGACAGTATTGTTATCTGAATACCAATACAACAAAACCATATAGAACACACCTGGCACCACACTTATCTATTTTTAACACCTAGCCCTTTACAACCGAAAAAACAATATCCAACCCCTTTTGTAAACTTGTAAAAACATTAACTCCCTTGTCCACAGATAGGAATTTGTTTCCAGGGTATTATCAAAGCCATAGGTATTGACATGATAAAATTAGATAATACAAATTTTCAGCTGGAGGTGTGAAAAAACACAATTGGTCATGATTGTATTAATTAATAGGTGCTTATGACAACAAACATAGCTATTAGATAATGAAATTTACAAAATAATTAGCGATCTTTACAAATTTTTACAAGTAGAGACAAGATAATTAAAAATTTGGATGAAATTAATTATTTATCCCTGACAAAATGAGAAAATATGTACTTTAGAAAAAAATTCTCGAAATCATTAAATGCAATCTTATTTGAATCTGTCAAGATTTCTGCTTGGACAAACTTGAAAGAAGAATTAGCTATGCACACTTAATGTCTTTAGTGAAATCTTCTTCTCTGTCTTTTAATGCTGAAATAATTGTCTTACTTGGCCATTAAACAATTTAACAGTATTTTTTTAAATGGAGCAGGGCATCTTATTGAGAGAATATATACAAGGCAATGCAATGAAGAGTTAAATTGATAAGAGCGTTAGCCTGGCTTAATGTCAATCTTAGTTGTACTTTCCAGCCCAAAAATGTACAAACACAGAAAAGACCAATTAATCATTGACACAAGTAATTTATCATCTGAAAATCTTATTTATTATGTAAATACACATCAGAAATATCTTTAAACTGCTGCAGTCAAGCGGACTTCCTACAGGAATTGTGCAGCGTGTGCAGTTTTATTATTATTTCCTCCAAGGAGACAAATTGAAACGGCAAGATATTTAACAATGCTGAAACATGTCCAGAATCCAAACATACAGAAAATTGACATTAGAAAATATTTTCAATTAAATGAATGCCTAATGAATCATAATGTTATTTCTTAATATCACGATCGGTAAATAATGATGTTGCCAATAATTTAAATGAACCGAAACTAGGTAAGGAGGTATGGCCAATTTTACATTATCTGTGATTCACTTACAGGGGTCAAAATCAGAAAGCTGCACATGAAACCTACCAGAATCAAAGTTTAATGTTTAAATAATGTTTTTTAATAATATACATAAAACCCAAAATGTTACTAAGAGTTTGATACAATATAACAATATTGAAAATGAATAAATTTCTGACAATGCATTACTTCCAATAAAATCATGGTTTAAGTTCAGTGGGTTGTTTTTATTTAATTTATTTGGGGGATATACTAAAATTTGCCAAAATCTATGAGAAAATTGGAAGTTTAGATTCATCTTTAGGTATGCATAATTTGTTCACTGTTCAGAAATATGTCATAATGTTGTAACAACCTTAATGTACACAAATGAGGCTAAATTACTGTGAATTTCAGTAATGTCTAAAAATGGCGATAGTGTGAATAATCTAAGGAGAAATTAGCCATATATCTTTTGTTTTTTATTTAAATTTAAAAAAAAACACATTTTTTTCTGGTTTTAAAAGACAGTACAAATATAAGAAATCTATTAAAATAAATTTTGACAAGTGAAACTCATTTAATAGGTAATGCAGAGTAATAATAAATAATATCTAATATTCGAAAAATAAATTACATTTCCATCTCTACTTTGCCCAATTCACTTTTTAAAATAAGCAATATGTCAGATAAAATAATCAAAATATATATGTACCTCATAAGTAATTCACCAAAATTCATTACAAGTAAAACTGAAATATTTGTGACTTATAAAGAAATTATCTTTCAAAATGTCCTTTTGTTTTTCAATTAAAGTCATTGTTTGAGATGACACTACTGAAAAACTGAGAAAATTAAACCCAATTTCTTTGTGGAAACTGAATAAACCACAAAAGGAAATAGAAATAAATAAGCAGTAAAATACTTAAACAAATTTTCATATTGTATAATTACAATGGGCATAAAATGGTGAATTGAAAAATCTTAAAGTAATAAAAGAGATCCAGTTTCTTTTTCATTGTTGTTCGCCACAATACCCTTGATCAAACAGGTAGACTAATTGAGTGTTAAACTGTCAGTTTCCGCTTGCAGGTGCTGAATTAGCGATCACTAGAATGTTTAAATTTCTCACTTGTCTTGGACTCCATAGTTAAACAACGTCAGTGTCATGTAAGACACAGTTCCTGCTTAAACTTCATACACGTGCCTGTCAACATATCACCTAATCCATTAAAGAAATGGAAACTTGGGATGTATTAGTTTTCATGCCATAATAATATAAGTGGCCATGTCTTTTGTATGTTCAATACATCGTCCATGGCCAACGGGGTGCACAGCTCATCTTTACTTCATAATATCATGTTATTTCCTCTTTATATCTGATCAAACAAGACCCATCATCATATTTTCTGCCACACTCCTGAGAATAAGATTTTAGTTCATCGACTAGTATGCCAGTCTATAAAAAAGCTTAATCCTCTAGAAATATCAATCTTCTATCACACAAAACAGAGGAGATGAAAATGATGTTAATTGACTTCAAGACATTATGATAAATAACTGTGAAAAAAAGTTGACTCTAAGAAGCATTAGAAAGTCAGACAATTTGTTATTTTTTTATGTGAAAATTTTTCCATGCCGGATAAGAATGCATTTATTTAGACATAAAATCCTGCATAAACTTCAATTACATTATATAAAATCAGTGCAACCCAGATAATCTTGCATATATAAATTTTTAATGCAAATTAAAGTAAAAACAAAAAACAGAAGACATACTCAGGGAGCTATTCCTGTCCATAAATGGGAATTTCAGTAATGGAATAAAAGAGGATTTATAAAAATGTCAAACATTTGAAATATAAATGTAGACTAAGTTACATAATTTCAAAATAGACCAATTATCTGTAGATATAAGTACTTAATTTCTTTAATTTGGATATTCAACACTTTTTCAAGTTGACAACAATTTTTTAATTACATCTAATGTTTTTATTCTTATTCCACTCAAGTAAAAACTAAGATATACAACTTCAATCATAGAAATTCCTTCATAATTTTTGTTTTGAATAGGACATGGTCTAATATTTGAAGTATACCAACTAAGGGTGAGGTTGAAATTTTTAAAATAAATTACTGACCTATCAGATCAGACATAAGGGTCCTTAACTTGAAAAAATTTCAGACTGACAAATTGTCAAAAATGAGATTTTTTTTCTGCAATTTGTGGTTCATACGAGTTGGTGACTGTTTTCACAAAAGAATCTTGCAATTAAAATGGACCATAAGTTATATACAAAAATGTTTGTGATAAGATTTTTTTATGAAAACAGTCGCAAATGACTCAGACTTCAAACAAATTAGTATTTTGAGATTACAGTGAGTTTTAGGAAGGCATTGGTAACAATAAAAAGCATCAGTAAATATTCTTAAAATTGACAGCAAACCAAAAAGTTCACATCTTCACATCCTTAGG